CTCAGTGTCTGTTTTTCTTCAACAAAATCACTCCCTAGGTGGTTTGGCCATGACACAATCCCTTCTCTTCCATTCTCCTCTCGGGATCTTAAGATATTTTGTAGGACAATGATCATTGACTATATTACCTCCAGGCTGAAATGCACCAAAGACCTGATGATCAGCCCCTCCTAGAGCAGAAAATTGATTATCTAAGGCCTCACCTATCAAGAACTTGAAGAGATAATCACACCCTCTTAAACCAATCACTGAACTAATCATACACCTAGAAGCTCTGCCACTAATTTTGCCCTTAAAAACTCATGTGGGGAACATTTTGTAGCGTCCAGGTTTTATTTTTTTTTCCTTTTCAGCATGAGCTTCCCCCTCTCCTTGCTTTGCACATTGCAATAAAGCTGTACTTTCCTTCATCACATCATGTGCCTATGGTTTGGTTTTATAGCAAGTGAACCTGATGTGTGTTTGGTAACAATGTCTTGGGTCTTACTTCAGACAATGACATATTTCTTTTTTTAAAGAATTATTTGATTTAACTATTTATGTAGCTATTTATTTATTTTTAATTTAACTAGAGAGGACAGAGTAAGAGAGAGAGAGACAGAGAGAGAAAGCAAGCTGCCAGGTCCAGGATTTAAACTGCAGTTGGCCATTTTGGAGTCCAGTGCCCTTAACCACCATGCCACCTGCCAGTGCCATAGACCATGCCACATTTCTTTCTTTTTATTTTGGAGATGTTTTTGCTATAGGGTGTGAGCACTTACCAGAAAGACAAAGAGAGACAGACAGAAAAGGAGAAATCACCCCTCCCCAGGGGGATGGCCATGCTGCAATCCCTTCTCTTCCATTCTCTTCTCAGGATCCTGGGCACACACACACATGTGCCCAGTGTGTTTTTAGCCACTGGGCCTCGGACTTGAACCATGGTCGATGATATGGGAGTCTAGCGACATAGCCATTAAGACAACTGCTGGTCCTGACCATGACATACTTCTATTAGTACATACAAACAGTTTGTTCTTTCTCATGATTTTTAGGGATTATGTCAAATTTAGAGCTCCATACCTAAAATTAAGTTTACAGCCTTTCAATTACTGTAGGAGACTTTTCCAGCTTTTCTACTTTTTTTTTTCTATTTTTAAGAGATTATTGTTATAGTTCACTACAGATACAGAGTGAGACAGAGGGACAGAAGGTGAGAAATCACCCCCTAGGGTGGATAGCCACACTACAATCCCTTCTCCTCTATTCTCCTCTCAGGATTTTGGGCACGCATACACACACACTCAACCTGCTGGATCCAGGACTTAAACTGCCGTAGACCATATGGGAGTTCAGTGCCTTAACCACTATGTCACTGTTAACGGATGGGAGAGTGTTGAGCTGTGTTGTGAAGTCCTTGGTTCTTTGGGTACAGATCACTAAAAGTAGAGATTTGTCCCTAGTGCAAAATGAAACTGCAACCACGAATGAAGTAGGTAGAAAAGATTTAATAGAAAAGAAAGGAAAGGAAAGAAAGAAAGTACACCCAAGATGGTTTTTGGGCGGGCAGATTGCCAGGTGGCAACCCCGCTTGGTACTAGTTAACCGTTATTTTTATTACTAGAGGTCATGAATATTCACTTGTGGGAGACCCCTTATGCTGCCTATGTCCTTCCTTTAAATTTGAATCCACAAGTCTTTTCCTGCACCTGCGTACCTTCCTCACAGGTAAAGAATGAGGAACTTGATCACCTAATTGCACATGCCCAATGCGAGCCAGGTTGCCCCAATTAGACTGCCCAATTAGTCCATCACCCTAATGGGAATTAGTGCATAGACAAAGATGCTTACTTAGGGATTTTGATAAGAGAAAAATCTACACATCATCTCTGTGTGCTTCCCTCAGGCCCCAAAGAAGGAAGATGGCAAATTGCCTGGCCCTCCTGGCGCCCGGAGCTAGATGAGCCTTTCGCTCTTCTCTTAGGGCTGCCCGCTCATAACTAACTAACTGCCTACCACACCACCTGCTGGACCCCAAACTTTTTGCTTTAAGTGGCATTGTACTTCTATCTAAAAGTGAGAAGCAAGAGAGCCAAACTCAAAATTTGTTAATTTGCAGTTAGTATTTATGTTGAAGGTTTGATGCCACCTAAAATTATACTTTGATTTTCACAAAAATCCATACTATCCATGACCTCTATAACCAGTGAGAATTTCAAGCTTTTTATTAATTTTCCTTTCTGTCTATCTAGCACTAACTAACATGCCTAACAAATAGTAAGGGCTTGACCAGTATTTGTTAACTAAATTATTTCATGAATCTGTAGACATGTGCAAAGAAGACTGGATTTAGGTACCAGTAGGTGGTGTGCTGGTTAAGGTGCTGGACTCCCACATGGCCGATCATGGTTTGAGTCTCAGACTTGGCAGCTTGCATTCTCTTTCTCTTTAAGAAGACTGTGTTTAGAGTCAAAAAACTAGGGTTTCTGTCTTGATTCTGTTATTTTTGAATGTATGACCTTGGACAAGTCACTTTAGGAAAAGGAATTATACAGATATTGTTTTTAAATATGGATTGATAGTCCTCAAATTTTTGCATTGGATGATTAAATAAGAAAATGTATGTGAAATTCTTTGTAAATTATAAAACACCAAACCGGAGGTGTTATTATGATTAATCATTAAGAAAATTTGCTTACATAGAGCCTTAAATAATTCAACTGACTAGATAAATTGACCTCTTAATACTTATTGGTTAATATAGATAGGTGTATCCATGAGTGTTTCCTGTGACAGTGCATACCCATGACAGTTGTGTTGCTCTAGTTCATTTTCTGTGACATTGCGAATAAGTCTACTTATTTGGTGAGACACTGGACAAAATAACAGTGCAGTTTTGGTTCTGGGATGCCTTACATTACCAATTTAAATTCATTACTGCATTTAAATTATTGCTTATTATACAATACCATTTCAGTGTTTTCTCTTAGAGTCATTGCATTGGCAAAGTAGCCATTTAATTGTTCCTGCCCACCTCAAGTTAGAAGATGCAGCTTTTAAACCCAAAGCGCCTTTGATTCACATTATATGCCATGTAAAATGATGCACAGCCTTTCAAACAGCGAATGGAATTATAATTCCAGGTTGCAATTCTTACCGCCCAATCAAATTTAAACTCTACATTATAACTACAGCTCATAAGTGTACTGACCTGGAGGGTCAAGCACAAAGGAGAAAAATAAGGGGGAAAATATCATCAATACCAATACTAAAACAACAAACAAAAGTTGGAAAACAAACAGCCAGATCAAGGCTCAAGTCTCAAGTCCCACAAAAGGCCTGGATATTCCTGTTAACTGTTATTCATATTTCTCTGAATCTCTGCATATGTTGGTTATGTTCTGCTGTGGAAGAAGGGTTTTTTTTTTTAAAGTTTTTTGCCATAGGACATGTACGCTCACTGGAGAGAGACAGACGGACAGTGAGAGGGAAAGCGAGAAATTACCCGCCAAGGGGGAATGGCCATACCTCAATCCATTCTCCATTCTTTACTCTCCTCCTGGGATTTAGGAAACACATAGACACATGCCTGACATGATGTTCAAGCTACCAGGATTGGGACTTGGACTGTCGTCACTCATGTGGAAGTCCAGTAATTTAACCACTATGCCACCTACTGACCCCGGGAGAAGGAGTTTTAAGAACTGACATTTTAGAAGGCAAAATAAAACTATAGAATGGCAAAATTGGAACATTTTAAGGGTCAAATAATTAATGCATCTCATTTTATAGGTGGGGCAAATTCAGTCCTGAGAGGGAAAGGGACATGTCAAATGTCACTCAACAATTTTGGGGCCAAATTAGTAGGTCCTGACTTTCAGGTTGTAGTTTTTTTGGAAGGGATCCTGTAAGTCATTCTTTCTTAGAGAGTACCATGTTGGTAAAAATCAAATTTGCTGAGTTACATGTTTAAAATAAAGGTTTTTGGGTCCCATCTTAGATTGATTAAATCTGAATCTTAAAAGTGCTCCAAGAAAACCTGCATTTTAACAAGTTCTACAATTGTTCTAATAACA